GGAGTTCCACCAACAGCAAGAGAACAAAACAGAAAAAAAAAGGGTCAAGTGCCTTTATTTTCTGTGAATATCCAATCCGATTCCTTCTTGCACTTAGTACAAGGAACACGCCTACAAAATTGATATATACATATAGATATACGTATATGTGTGCATATAAGTCCAGTACTAAAAATTTGAACAATTATGTTGTTAAACTGGATTTTAATTGGTTTTCAGCTATACTTAGTTTATGCCAGATCATATTAATCCAATTGATTCTTTCAATTAATTGAAAGATCTTCAATTTGTGTTCAATAATCTGCAAAGTCTGCAGAGCAGCTTCTATCAAAGATTCTACAGTTAGCTAAATCAATTTGGAATTTGATTACCAATTCCCTTTAAATCTAATTAAAATGCATTTTTTCCTGAAAAATTTGATCATTTTTTCTATGCATTCTTTGCTATTTTGTTAAAATTTGCTTTAGTCTGCTGCTATTTCAGGCTAGGCAATTAAATAGTTGTGGTTACTTTGCCTTTTTTATGCACACACACAACACACACACACACACGCATCTGCATGTGTATTGCACCCTTGGGTGCCGTCCGTCCTCGATCCCTTGGCTGGTGCAGCTCTCAAAATTTGTTTTCAATTAACAAAACTGTTTGCTCTTGGAAAAACAACAGCCAGAAAAAAATCGATGAATTTACATAGTTAGAAAAACACCTGCTAGCTGTTTGGCCAGGCGGCTCAAATTGAGTTTCGGCCTGGCCAACAAAAAAAAAAAAGGAAGCAAGCAATGGCAGCCAAATGGCCAGAATTTCGATCAATTGCCAAATTCACAACTCAGCTGAAATACAACTAACGTTAGCTTAAAATACTTTGAATCTTTATTGAAATAAAATATCCTTTACATCCCTAACTATCCCGTTCCAGCCCAGCACATACTTGGGTTAAACTTTTGCTGGGCAACAGGCGCAAAGTCGCAAAGCATTTTATGCACTCAACTTTACGAATTTTCTCCTTTGATATAAGTTTGACAAAAAAAAAAAATGTGCAGCAAAAAGTCAAGCTAGATTAGCTCCAACACGCCAAAGTTTAAATACAGCTGCGTGAAGTGAATTGTGAAGCTCGTAAATAAATGAAGATATTGTGAAAAATAGAAAATGTTTCCCTACAAACCATGACAATGTCTTTAAAACAGAACTTCATGTGGCCAGTTTGAAGAGTTCATGACTCATCATCGGCTGGGCGAAAAAAAAAATGCCCATTGTCGCACGGCAGAATAGAGAAAATAGAAATAGCCAGACAGGAAGAGTTGGGTGTTTAATGAAATGGCAGAAATCGTTGGCCAACAAACTCACAGACACAGAGGCAATTGTAAGAGTAAAATAGAAAGAAAGCAAACAGCACTAAGCTAAATACATACATAAATTGATTTCATGACTCGATGCCTGATGCCCGAAATAGGGGCAGGTTCGAGCTGTTCTTGTGCTGGCAGGTTGCGGCAAATACCTTCAAGTGGACTCCGTGTTGCATTGCCGCAGTCGTCAAATTCAAGTGTGAAGGCCAAAAACAAAAATCAACTAAGCAAAAATATGTTTGTGCGAAATCTACAATTGCGAGTGTGCACCTTCAGATACCCTTTAAGTGCTCAGAATTGGATATGATACGATATAGATATGCTTCATATCTGACAAGTCATATCATATATATATACATAAAACGAGCGGATATTACCCGGCCTTGCACGTGCAAGATATTAGATAGATATTACCCTTCCATTAAGTAAACCCTTCTTGATCTCCACTTCTATTTTAAAATATGTTTCAAGTGCAACAAATAAAGAACCAAGTGTTGGCATCTTGCGGTGAGAATCTTGAAGCTGAATAATAAACTTTCGTTTAACCTTTGACCCGCATTTGCTACACAAAAACGTATCACACAAGCTTCCTTAGTTCTTACGGTTTGGGTTGTGCAATGAGTCCGGAAAAAACTGTTTTACATATAGGATTTACTTATTTCCATTTTGTATAGACTTTTACAACACTTTTACTTAGCTAGTGTTGAAAAAGATTTGACAACGACAAATTGAGTTAATAAAAATTGAAAAAAAAAAACACCTTAGCTAAGTTTATAAACAACTCTACAAGACTTTTTTTCTAGAGTATACAAACCAGATTCTATGCATAGAAAAAAAAAAGGCAAACAGTGAATGGTGAGCAACAAGGCAGAAAAATAAATACATATACATAAACACAGGCAAAAGAAGAAGAGGCAGAGAGCGAGAAAGAGTGTACGCCGTCTGCGAGTTAAGAGCTTGACAAAGAGTTAAGCTCGAATAGCTTAACGCACATTTAAAGTAGAAATATTGTAGAAAATATATGTGAGAAATGCCAACAATTTGTACTCTCACAATCAGCCGAAATATATATATGTATATATATAAAAAAAAGGCCCTCCACTAAGTGCACGAAATGCTTATCAATTTTTGTTGGCTATCGCATGATTCATTCATTCATTGGGAATGTTAGCTTTTTTTTTTATGTGAACAATAAGCTTTTAATAACTAATTAACACAAAATGTAAATAGATTTCTTTGCATTTATCGCTGGATGTGTCAGTTTTTTGATGAACCGATGACTCAACTCTCGCTAGATGTGGGCGGTGCATGTCCGAGTCACATTGGGGTCAGTTTCTTCAGTTTATTTAGCTTATGCTGGCGCCGACAGGAAGTCTGAATTGTACATGAAACAATGATGTCTGTTGGCACGAAGTTTTTAGATTAATGAATTGTACATAAAAACGTTATGAATTCCACACAGCGAGAGAGAGCTGTGAAAGATGATGACTGTCAGAAAGTTTTGCAAGATCTATAAATATTAAATGAACGTCAGGTTGATACTCGAAACTCTTGAAGAACAAAATGAATAAAGATAAAAAATGACTCGATAATATGAGATCATCTCCGCAAATTCTAACAGCAAATATAGAAAAGTAATATACATCGAAAGATAAATGGAGAACAAACTGTGCTAACTGTTGCGAGTGTGGGTTGAGGTACAATGCATGACAAATCGATTCAACACACTTGTTGAGAATATTTCAAAAAAAAAAAAATACCTTCTTTTTCTTTATATTTTATAAGGCAACAAGAAGCTGGATAAAAGCTGCGTTCTTTTCCAGGGTATACATACATATTGTACAACTTTTGTTTTAAATTGTTTTTTCTGATTTCATTCTAACTTGATTCTAGATGCCTCGATGGCATATTAAAAGCGAGAAAGTAAGTTTATCTTCGGCACGACGAAGATTTTATACCCTTACAGATATTTGCTTTACTTTATATGTGAGAACAGTGAAGCTCGTAAATGCCGAGCTTGATAAAAATACCTTGGAAATCAGAATATGTTGCCAAACAAGAACTTAATTTACGACCGATTCTTCCTATTGGGTGCTATATGATATAGTTGTCCGATGTAAATAAGATTTTACATAAATGTAGGGAGCATAGTAAAACTTATAAATGGCGAGTTTAGTCAAGATATCTTGAAAAACAAAAAAGTTTCCCATACAACAACTTAATTTTCGACCAATCGTTCCTATGGCAGCTATATGATATAGTAGTCCGATATTGATAGGATTTTGCATATATATAAAACGTGTAGTAAAAGTAATAAATGTGGAGTTTGGTAAAGATATTTTGAGAAATAAAAAAGTTTTCATACAAGAACCTACTTTTCGACCAATCGTTCCTATGGCAGCTATATGATATAGTGGTCCGATATTGATAGGATTTTGCATATATATGAAACGTATAGTAAAAGTAATAAAAGACGAGTTTGGTAAAGATATCTTGAGAAATAAAAAAGTTTTCATACAAGAGCCTCCTTTTCGACTAATCGTTCCTATGGCAGCTGTATGATATAGTCGCCCGATCCAACTGGTTCCGACATATGTACTGCGTACAACAGAAGGAGGCACTTCTGCGAAGTTTCATGAAACAGGCAGACGGACATGGCTATATCGACGTCTGTTGATACTGATCAAGAATGTATATACTTTATGGGGTCGAAAATGTCTCCGAGACAAAATTATAAACAGTTATAGCCATAGAGAATACCTTGAAGAAATTGTTTTCATGTATATTAACATGCTTTATGACGTGTAATCGGTTCCTAACTTTGCCCAGATTATAAATATTCGAAATATATCTATTTAATTGCATTAACATTTACGATTAAATGTTTTTTCTAGTTTCAGTTTGTTTAGAAACGTATCAATGTATAGATAGTTCCTATCTAGTCCAGACTAAATGATAGTAGCGCACAAAATTATTGTTTTCAACTTTATCGCTATTACTTAATTAAAGACTCATCCAATCTACAGTTCGCATAGAAATATATATAGATAGGAATGAATATGACTTTATGTACGCCTAACATGTTTTCAAATTTCAAATGACTCGCAGCATATATAATTACATTAATTTTAATAGTTTGCCATTTGAACAATTTCCCATCAATTGAATTGACTTACAATCTAATCATTGGCGCATTAACTCTCACGAACCCAATTAACTTTACGCTCTACACACAAGTGCACTTAAACTATAATATAATTGACATTCAATTTCTGGCTCATATAGAAAACATTTCATAGATAATTATGGCACTAGCAATGCGCATTAGACACAAACTAGGCGACAATTCCGAGCGCTCCAATAAAAGATATAGACAGACCGAGCGCAATTCCCTAGATACGGATGCGGGGGTTACGAGGCTTTTCTGTTTTTTTTTTTTTACTGGCAAAACATTATAAAGTAGATGCTAAAAAACAATTACTCACCTCGGTTGGGGGAATGACGCTTGGCAGCTGCATGTGGAGAGGAGGCGGCGTCGGAGACGTTGGCCCTGAGGCTGCAAATATCGTGGCTAACACTGGGCTTATATGTCGATTTTATATTTTTTATATATTTTTTTTGTACGCGTTTTGGGTTATTTTTTTGTTACTGCTGTTGTTGTTGCTGCTGTTGTTGTTGTTGTTGTTGGGCTTGAGAAAACACATTGAATGCGTCTCGATCCACGAAGTTATTTTTTGTTGTTGCTTTGTTGATTGTTTGTGTTGTTGTTGTTGATTGTTGCATTGACTCTCGTTTTGGGTGTGATTAAAAAAGAAACGTGCATTCGCAGTGGACTAGTAATGAATTTAGCTCTGCTCGTTGTTGTTTTTCGCTTCGAATTTTTGTTTGTTTTAGTTTCAAATACATTACTACAAATATGTCTTGCTACTTGCTCGCTTTGATTCTATTGGGCATAGGTTAAAGTATTTTACAAAAAAAAAAAAGAAAGAATATTGAAATAATGTTTGGCATGCAGTTGGGTTAGGTTGAAACAAAGATTTTCCGTTTGTTGTGGTTGTTGTTGGCGTTGTTGTTAGTCATGTGGTTTGAGTTTGCAGAAACAAAAGCAAAAGAAAAAGAAATAAACAAATAAGTGGGTTAATATTGCCAGGCAAAGTGTTTAGGTGTATGAAATGCGTGGGCGTATGTGTGAGTGTGTGTGTGTGTGTGTGAGCAGGGTAGAGAACTAAATCAAATTGATTGAGCATTTTTTTGCAGTTAATATTTTTCACAACGAAACTAAACAAACTTTTTGAGCACGAATAAACAATTTGAGTTGCTTTTTGGTTTCGCAATGCGGACAAACTTTTGTTATTGTTGTTGTTTAAAAAATACAACGGAAATGTGCAAACACAAAAAAAAAAGGAAAAGCAAAAAATAAAAAAGAGAAAAAACAAAAACAAACCCGTTTTGATGGAGATAAATGTTGGACATTTATTTGCGCAACAAACTAAATAATCAACTTTAAATTTATAGTTAATTGGAGTCCGATTAATTGGAGTCGGGCAATTGCAGTACGTGTCTGTGGTAGATTATTTCTATTCGAATATGCTTTATGTGCTTCCTCAACTGATATATATATATACTTGTACATATCCATAAAGTACGTACGATGTATTGTGTATAGTTTGTGTAATGTGAACACGATTGGGTTAATAGCATTTAGTAAATAGTCACTATAGTTATTATATATATATATATATATAGTAATATATATGTACATAGATCGTTAATAGCTTTTTAATAAATATATTCAAGAAGTTAACTAGAGTTTAAATACATAGCATTTGCTGAGAGATTTTTGTTTTCTGAGAGAATCTACAAAAAAGCATATTGAGATTTAGCTTCAATTTTTAAAGCAAACAAAATTAAATGCAAGAAACCGAAAATTTAAATTGTGAAAAGAACACATAATTAATTAAGTTGCTTCTGCGGCTTTTTATGTATGCAAAGCGAAAATTATTAGAAAAAAGAAACAATTTAATTGAGTTGTTTTCTGTGTGTGTTGCAATGTTTAACAATAATCGTTTGTTTCTTTTATGTTCTTTACTATTACATATATATATTTGTAATTGCAATTTTTGATCATATATGCATGTTTGTCTATACGTTTTTTAGACTATAATTAATTGCTTCTCGTTTGGTTTGTTCGGTTCTGTTTTAATCGGCTTTCCTGTGTATCTAATATATACATATATATTTATATATATATATTGTTATGTGTGTGTGTGTGTGTGTGTTCGTGTGAGTTGAGCATTAGGATAAGCATATCCTGCGCCCAGGCGGTCGCTCGTCTGCGTATAATAACAACAAGGACTCGAGGTTTCTAAACTAATACAAATTAGCTATATAATGCGTTCATATATATATATGTATATTGTATATCTCTTGTTAGTTATAGAGCCTAAATTATCAAGTGTGTGTGTGTGTGTGTGTGTGTGTGGGTGTATTAGCTCACTGGCAAGGGTCGCTTAAACTTTGTATTGAATCATTTCTGGGTGGGTTGCACAACATCCTAAACAGACATCGAGAGTGTGTGTGTGTGTGTGTGTGTGTGTTGTCTATGTGTGTGTGTGTGTGTGTTTAAGTAATTGCATCAATTTACATGAAATAACTGCTAACATAGGCAGCCGCCAAGATGCCCAACACAGTCAAGCATATCAGTATCATGATCTTCTTTCGTCGCGCTTTGCTTTGATATTTGAGCGCCTTTTTGGTATCCTGAGTTGCGGTCTGCACATAGTCCATGGCGTGCTCGACATGGTACTCGATGCGATCGATCATCTCGCCCTGCGACTCCACCAGCATGGCCATGTCCATGAACATGTCGTGCAGCTCCTTGATGGACGTCTCCAGTTTCATGATGTCCGCGTGTCTGGCCTCGATATCGGCGAGCGTTTGCTTGGCCTGCTGCGTTTCCATGATGATGCCCTGGGTGAAGACAGCCGAATTGCCCTGCTCGAGCATATCCTCGAGCTCCTCGTTTGTGGTCGCACGACCCGTTATCTCCAGCTGGCGCTGTATTCTGCCCTTGCAGCGCTCCCGATAATCGGTCTGGGTACGATTGTATTCGGTCATGACCTCGACAAATTTCCGGGACAATGTCGAGTGTTGCGTTTTGCGTATACGCAAATCGGCCGATGATTTATTCTGTTGCTCCTCCTGCTCGATATTCTGTTCGATGCCCTTGAGTTTGCCGCGGACACGATTCGCGTTCTTCTTAATGTCGGCCATTAGGTCCTCCAGCTCCTGTTTGGTCTTCTCATCCGATTGCGGTGCGGACAATATGGCCGAATGTTTCTTTTTCACCTCCTCCACATTGTCCTGCACCTTGTCAATCATGCCGCGTATCTCCTCCACCTGGGCAAAGAAATCATCCATATACGAATCATGGCCGTCCACATTGACGGCCACATCCTCCGACTCCTCATCGTCCGACTGGGCGGCATGCAACGCGGCTAATCTGTCTTTCGTCATGCTGTCGTCAACTAGTTGATTTTTCCTGTTGCTTTTTTTCTTTTAATTATTATTTTCGATTTGTTGTGTACTGTTTAATTCGTTGATTTCTTTTGTTATTGTGTTTTTACAATTTGTTTTTTTTTAATAATGGCAGATTGATTATTCCGAATGCAGTTGCAGTTGCATTTACAGTTTCGTGCGAGCTTTTTACGTAAGCTCTGCTTTGCGTTTGTTGTTGTTGTTGTTGTTGCTGCTGCTGCCGCTGATTCGTTTAGCAGTTAACTGTTAACTTTTGCAGCGTTTGTTGCTTAACTTGTTTGCACGCTTTTTGCTATTGCTTTTTTTTTTTGTTATTTTATTTTATTTTCTGCTGCTTACACTCTCGACTATTGATTTTTCGTAGGTTTTTGTGACCGCTAAATGGTTTTTTCGCATGCCCTAAATAAATACGACTTCACTAAACACTTGGCCTTAGTTTTTGTTTGTTGCCGTTTCGTTGCTGTTGCTGCTTCTTCTTGTTACACGCACCTCACTTTGGTTAGCAATACATGCACACATACATATATAAATATATTCTTAAATATATAAATAATATGTATATATATATATACAAGAATTCTAGCTCGTTTTCCTTTTAGCCTTTTTCGTTAACGGCGCGCGTGTTTTGCGCTCAAGAGCGCGCAAAGAGAGCGACGATTGGGGCAGCACCTCAATGCCAGGCAGCTAAGTCAAGTAGTGAGCAGCAACAATAAAAGCGTTAAATTATGACTCACGGCGATTGCTTAAAAAACAGCAACAAGAAATTGCTTTTATATATACATATATATATATATGTGAATTTTATTTTTCTTTTCTTTTTGCTGCTGCCTGTGCACAGATAATTTTTAACAATGCGTAGGATTTATGCCCGAACAGCTTTTTAGCACACTATTTTTTGGTTGTTTTATTATTTATTTATATTTGTTGCTTTTCTCTTTATTTGCTTTATTTTGGGCTGTTTGTTATGCACTTGTCGATCGCCGTTGCATTTGCGCACGCATTCGCACATTCACATTCACTCAAAGCGCGAGGGTGGGTGGGGCAGCGTGTGTGTCGTTTTCGTTTTCGGCATCGGTTTCGCGGATCGATCGCGCTGCAGTTAACCTATTCGCTTTTGGCTATTCTCACGAATCCGCAATTGCAGTGCGTTTGCAGCTGCTTACCTCTCATTTGCACACATTTGGAGACAATGCGTGTTTTAAACGAATTTCGGTTGAGGTTGACTTCGTACGCGAAACACGTACGAAAATGGGCAAAAAAAAATCGATTTCTGCGCAGGGCTCCAACGGCGGCTCTCTTCTTCGACCGCTTAGGGGACTGTGACGTGATGGTTGCTTCTGGCAACGAAAACACGCGCTAGCGGCAAACGGAAGGGGGAAGGGCTGTACGGTGGGCGTTTTTTCTCTGCGTTCCGTTTTGTTTTATTTTGCGTGCGAGCGAGCGTGTCTATGTGTCGTTTGATTGTATTTGTGAATGTGTTTGTATGTGTGAGTGATTTAGTCGGCGGGCACTTCACACATTCGCTTTGGTTTTCTCGCCGCTAGTGCTGTGGGTGGCAAGCATCCATTTACTCTCTCTCTCTCTCTGTCTCTCTTTCGCTGCCTTTTTCGTTTTCTCCCTGCTGACTTCTGTTACTTTGTTGTAGTATGTCGTTGTCGCCTTTTGTTTTACGCGCACGTCGCTAAAAAGCACACTCGACGCGTTGCTGGCTCTCGTCAATCTGAAACACGCGTCGCCTTCCGGTGCAAGCAAGACCGATGCGACGGTTCGCTCTGCTGTTTTTTATGTGGAATATGTGCTGAGTGCGATTGCGCTGAGTCTCATAATTGGGAGTTTTCGCTCGTTTTACTATTGCGTTTGGATGTAGTATTCGGTGTTTGTTGACAGGTTCTCTCTCGCTCTTTCTGTTTACTGACATGGGACTCACAAACGCAGATGCGGCATAGTTTTCATTGCTATCATGCTATTTGGTGAAGTATATTTGAAACGTTCACTTTTCTTTTAAATTGTAATTGTTTTAACGCCAACGTTGATTGCACAATTACTAGACTGTTGCAAAATATAACGAGTTTGTGGTAATTTTTTCGTTTTCTTTTGCCACTGCTTTTTGTTTTCACTTTTGTTGCGACATGACGCCTAAAAAATACCAATAGTGCTAGCAGAAATGCACCAAATAATACCGAAAGCACTGACGTTACGTCAGCACTGAAATGCCGCTACATACAACAACAACAACCAGCGACCAGCATTCGGTTTGTTTGTGGAACTTAATTTCTGCACGGTTCACTTCGCACGCTCATTCGTGGACGAACTGCGAGAGCAGTTTTATGAATGGAAAGCCGGCACTTGCAATTAATGCGGTTAAAAACTGCAGCTGAAAGAGAGCTGTAACATTTGGCAAACAAAGAAGCACATTTGTATGGTATATTGCAGGCCAACCAGACGGCCATACAAATGTAAACAAACGCCAACGCATGTAAATAAAAGGCACAGTTCTATATCGATAGCTCATCGATAAATGCACACTACGACGTTTTGCAGCACTGACACGCGCGCGCCAAATTGGCTGCATTTGAGTTGCCCGCGCCGTCGTTAATATATTGCTTTCAGGCTTTCAATTGGATAGTTTTGTAAGTAAATTCAAGTTGCGCACTTACCGGATACTTTGTTTGCAGCACAATGCCGCATATTTCATCGCCAACCAGAAATTGCTCACCCAGCATGGCCATGCAGACGTTCTCCCAGGCGCGCTCAATTTTATTCTTTCGCAAACGTATTACCCATTGGCCGCCTTTACTGTTCGCCGGATCCTCCCACATCGGCTTGATGCCCTGTTTGAAGAGACTCAACTCCCGATAGGGCTTCAGCGCCGTCGGCCTTATCAGATGCGAGTAGAGTGACCACCATTGCTGCACGCTGGCACAGCGCCCGACCACATGCAGCGATTTGCTATAGTCGGTGGCCGCTCGTTGTGTGCCCTTCCGCGAGAACCATAAACAATATGTGTGCTGCAGGCGATTCTCATTGGGCCCCACCTCCAGTGGTGGCAATTTGTCAACATCTATTTCGTTTTCCACATCGCTGTCGTCGCTATCGACAATATCTGGCCAGATTTTCCTGCAACGCAATGGTGATGGCATAACACTTTTGATAAGTATGTCGTATCAGGCTATTCAAATTAGTCCCAACCAAAACTCGGAAAGGAAATCAACAAACCCAACAACTATGACAGTTCTCTAGACCAAAATATACAAATATACAGCTCCTATATACAGATATATATATATATGCTTCTATTTTGCGCATTCACGTAACGCAAAATGAAGCTGTCAATCCGCACGCTGGACCAGAAGACAATCTCCCTGGAGCTGCAGGACGACAAACAGAAGGTCATACAGCTGAAGCAACGGCTGGTCCAGTTGCCGGAGATAACCCAGCCGGTGGAGAGCTTGCAGTTGATCTATGGCGGTCGCATTATGCAGGATGATCTGCCGCTGGCCGATTACAACATAATGGAGGACAGGTTCATAGTGCTAATGACCAAAAAGAGCGCCAACGCTGCTGCTGCGCCGCACAAGCAGCAGGAGCAGGAGTCGGAGCGAAAGGAGAAACAGCAGCCAAAGCAGGAGCAGACAGTGCATCCGGCGGAGCCGGCGCGACCTTCCGTTACGCCCGATGAGCAGCGCGTGCGCGACCTAGTGCTCATGGGTTACGAGGAGCAGGATGTGCGTGCCGCTTTGCGCGCCAGCTTTAATCATCCGGAACGCGCTATAGAGTACCTAATCACGGGCATACCCAGCATGACAACAGCAATCGACGGGACAACTAGCATGGGCAACACCACCACCTCCGGGCCAGGTGAGGCGAGCGTGATAAGCGAGACAGCCGAGCATCTCAACTATTTGGCAACCGATCCGCGCTTTGCGCACGTTCGCGATTTGATACGCCAGAATCCCGAACTGCTGGAGCTGGTGCTGACGCATCTGCGGGAAAGCGATCCGGCCGCCTTTGAGGCCATACGCAGCAATCAGGAGGAGTTTATATCCATGCTGAACGAGCCGACGCCCCACTTGACGGGCTCGCTCAGCAACGAGGAAGAAGCCGCTGTGGAGCGTCTAATGGCGCTGGGCTTTGATCGTGACGTGGTTCTGCCCATTTATCTGGCTTGCGATAAAAACGAGGAGCTCACTGCCGATATACTCTTCCGCCAGACCGACGAGGAGGACAACTAGCTCAACTGGCGGGCATTTCTTTTGGTTAATCATTTGGATGACACACACACAGGGTGTAAAGCAGAACTGGATCGAACCTAGGATTTCAATTTGTGTTTTCTTTATATTCAACCGAATTTTAAGCCACAGCAGTTGGTTTAAAAATAGCCCCCAACCGTAGCGTATTTGGTAGTAAAAAATATTTGATTGCAAATATCTTTTTCAAACATTTTCTAACACTTTTTTCAATCTAATGTTAGCGGGCAGGCGGAGCTCTAGGCATGGCTAAGAAATTTATAATTGTTATCCTACTTGATTGAAAATAAATTCATAATTGAATACTTTCATTTAAAAAAAAACCGGGAAAAAATGTTCAGCAACGGAATTCAAAGCTAGTCAAACCAAGTTCAAGGAAATGGAAGCGAAGCAAGTTTTTTTTTTTTTTTTTTTGGGGGGGATTTGCAGCCATGATTAGAACATAACCTAACAAACGCTGGCGAAGATGTTGCCCCAAATTTGGTTTCCACTTACGATTCGTATTGTTTGCTAGCGACCTTCTCCATGCTAATGCTGGGATGCCTCAACTGCGCCGTTTCCCTGGACAACGTCTGGATGTTTGTTATTGTTTGTTATTGCTCTCTCTCGCTGATTGCCGCGCCGACTGTTGCTGCCGTTGCTGCTGCTGCTGTTGTTGTTGTTGTTGGATTTACGGCTGTCGTTCGGCTGGCTGGCCTTTGGCGCTGGTTGCGTAGAATTATTGTTGTACTTTGTTGGGGTGCACGTTGCACAGTTTTTTGCCCGCTGTTGTTGTACTTGTCTGGTTGCCAAATCGCAATTTGTTGTTGTTGTTGCTGTTGTTGTAGTTCTTTTAAATTCAGCTCCTTTAGCTTTTGCGTGGTCGTTGTGTTTGTTTGTGGGTGTGCGTGTGCGTGTGCTGTCCAGAACACGAATTTGTCGCGTTTGGCTAATTGGCCGCCGTTTGAAGCGTCTGTGGTGCTTTCTCAGTCGCGTGGCCTGTTGTTGTCGTTGAATGCGTCCAGTTGGTAAATAGTTGACAAGATGTTCGGCTCTTTTTTGATTTTAATGGTTTTTATCGGCGTGCTACGTAAATAATTTAGTGCTGTAAAATGTGTTTAAATCGACGGTGTTTTGCAACACCAGAACATCTGTCGGGGCGAATGGCTTTAAGTTCTACAATAAATGAATGCGGTATAGATAATTCAATAAAGCATAGCTTTCGCCTCACTTTTTAATTCAACATTTCATTCCATTTGTATATTAATTGGGTTTTTTATTTGTTTTCTCTCAAATTATCGATAAAAAATCAGCTGTTCCATACAAAATCAAAACACAAGCGAAGAGTGACCAGCTCAATTTGATAAAATATGCCCAAAAAGTAGTGTCTTGTTAATTGTGCTTATTGTAGTGAATTGTATTCCTTCTTCATCAAGTGGCAATTTGAAAAAAAAAAACGACTGCAATGTGATTTGTAATTGTTTGGAAAACATATTAAAATCTTTATCAACTATAGTTTAACAGGATCTTTACATCGCTGCCTCATTGGGGATGTTAATAGAATCTTAGCTGGGGTTGGTTTTTTGATAATGTTAAAAACTGTGTATTGATTCTGTTAAAGCTCATTACTTTTGTTAATTAAGTAACAAGCTTTCAAATTATTCTTCGTGTTTCTCGCAACTAGTATCCAGTTATAAAGACTTTTTGTTTTGACTAATAAGCGAATAAAGTATTTTCAGCTAACAGCTGTTTTTTGCAGAATTAAAATAGTGTTACCAACACGTCAGTCACATGTTAAGTTAATGTGCTTTATGTTAAACAACAGTCAACAGTTTTTGATTTTTATTGTCGTTTGGTAAACAATTGAGCAATATGGGTAAAAGCGACAAAAAGTCAAAGAAAAAGCACAAGAGTAAGCGTAAAGAGCACAAAGAAAAGCACAAGGACAAAGCTAAGAAGACAAAAAGGCAAGAGAAAATTAAGCAAGCGCAGGACACGCCACCGCCAAAGATTGAGGTCCCGTTAGTTGTGGCAGCCGACAGTGGAAGCGAGGAGGACTTCGCCATACCAATAGGTCGGTAATGGCCATCCGTGTGTTTCACACAACAGCTACTCAAATATGTTTACACTTTGCACACATTTAAGCGCTGATGAACAGCAAATCGCACGCACCGGAAACGCCGGAGGAGTACCAGCGCCGGCAGAGCCAAATACGCCGTGAGGTGGACCCAGTGACTGGCCGAACGCGCCTAATCAAGGGCGACAGCGAGATACTCGAGGAAATCGTGAGTAAACCGCGACATTGCGATATAAACAGGAAGGCCACCAGCGGCGATGGCGACTACTTCGAGGCGCAATCCTTTGCGGCCGCCAAGCGTCGCAAGCCAAAGTAAACTTGTTCTCATTAAATACAATAGGTATATTTAATAATTAATAACTGTTAATCTAAATAAACAATTGTGCAGCATTGCAAAAAACGCTAGCTTAAGCTATATATAGTATATACATAGATAGACAGATGAATAGAATGAATAATTAGTTAGTCCGGCCGATATTTGGCCTAGTAGAGCTGATGGAAATACGTCGTGCTGCCATCCTGCCAGGCGGGATCGTCGCTGACCTTGGCGCGGCACATTGGACACGTCTGCTCACGCTTGAACCAGGTCTGGACGCACTCATCACAGAATATATGACCGCACTCTAGTATAATTGGCGAGTTGTACGCATCATGGCAAATGGGACACACGGAGCCGGCGGCATCTAGTTCGTCCTTTGTGGGCGGCCGCTCCGAGTCCTAACGAAAAAAGTCATCAACATCAATTAAATAATTAAAATAAGTTATCTGCTTAAATATGATACAAATTATTTTGAAGATTAATAAAAACTTTAAGCGTGAAATACAAATTGAAAATCGAGTGGAAAAGTCTATATTTATATATTTTACATTTCCCCAGTTAAAGTGAAAGCTTTGATCTTTAAGCAACTTATCTTTTTTATGATAATACCTTCTAAGATATTTAAAAATTATGTGAAGTCGTTGAAATAGTTAACAAAAACATTGCATTATACAATTTCCACGCATTTTCCACCCTTGTGGGTGGATTTCTATATTGATAGGTAAAGTGTTTGTTTGTTTTTTTACTACTCACAATATTGCGTCTAAATGTCGTAATGGCCTTCTTTAGGGACTTGCCCCGCTCCAGCAGCTCAAAGATTTTCGCGCCAATATACAGGGACGAGAACAGGCCGCCCGAGATGACCTCAAGGCCCGAGTAGGACTCGTACAGAAACAGGAACCACTGTGTAACAGGAGCCAGTGCGCGATAAAACTGCGATATGTATTCTACCAACACATAAAGACGAGCCTGCAATAGATAAAAGTGAACTTCAGTTGGCATGTGCATTTTTAATATAAACATATATAAACATCAACTGTTGGGAGATTTTCTAAAGGAATATTACAAAGATGACAATTTTCCAAACTTAACAAATACCTGTCTATGTTTAAGCCGAGGCTTTGGAATAATTTGAGCTTTAACGAGAATTAGTTGAATAAAAAATGCCCGACTACGGATATCACGCCTCAAGCTGTGCTTCTTATGCAGAAACTTCCTTTAGCTTCAGACTATGTCCAATTTCCTTCTATGTTTCTTGTCCGATCTTTATGAAATGTTCACGGCATAAATAAAGCCTCTAGACGCGTGTGTTTGACGGAAATATTTTGGATGTGTATATTCTAAGGTATCCCACATCCTAAAAACAATAGGTTGTCTCAATGGGAACGAATTCTCGATGATTTGTAATAATCCGAACCTCTTCAATGCCCTAGATCTTATAATCACTGAGATCAAACATAGCTCTACTCCGCTGTGGATGCTGCTTGGTGGAAATAGGGGCTTAGATTCGGTGAGTGAAGTTTTGGGTTCAATCTCATTACAAAGAGCTTCATGAAAGTCATTTCAGATGTAAGTCAAAGGCCAAAGGTTTATTTTTCGGCCTGGTTTCGACTTTTGGTCCCTTATTGAATGGATTTCAAACTCTCTTCCAAGTTTCTTTGTAAAATATTTTAGAAGACGAGTTTAAATGAAATTAAATTAAATTTGCCACGGGCGGGATATGTGTGAAAAATTGATGTCAAAAAACTCGGTTCAGAAAGTCCCAACTCGTCAATAATATATATATGCTTATAGGGAAAAAGATTGGGTTTAAGAATAATGCCAGGCTAGAAGAAGCTGAGGCTTCACTTTGCATTCGTATTACTTACGCGCACTTTCAGTCGTATCACATGCATGGGCAACAGGGTTATGCAGATCTTGATGAGAATGGTGAGCAGCTTGAGCAGCAGATCGCTGATGGCCACGTAGTAGAGCAGCATGCCCAGAGGAATGACCTTTGGCACAGTTGTATCGTTGGCCGAGTTCTTGGACAGCTCGGCGCTCCACTGGAACGTGGTCGAGGGGCTGTCATTGAGTCCATTCGTCTGGCTGTTTTCCGTTTTGTAGTGTGAGGTGGAGACATCAATTGTTTGATAGATCTTTGGCGGCGGCACAATTAAACCCAAGGGATCCGGCGGCGCTGTGGCCAAATACATGCGGAGTGTAACCACAACGATGACCACACAGGCATCTCGCACCAGCACCACATAGTTCTTTTGGGCCAGCCGCGAGACTTGATGCCGCACCGAACGATTCACATTGTACATGATGGTCTGCAGCAGGAGGAGATCGAGTATGCCCAGCAGATGGTCGTGCACGAACTTGATCATCAGTATGCAAATGATGGGCAAATAGCGGACAAAGTGGCTCAGCACCTGAACCACCATATCCGTGATGATGTGATCATCGTCTGCGTTATTCTCGTGCGCCGCCTGATGGGCAACATTGGCATTGGGGCTGCTGGCACCATCGGACGCGGCGGCGGCGGCGGCATTTGCAGCGCCAGCACCAGCGACAATCACAGCATCCGACTGTGCATCATAGGCAGGGGGATTAATGCACGCCGCTGCCGGCGTTGTCAGGCCAATCACGCTGGCATTGTGGCGACCGCTGAGGCTGTGCCGTGCCTGTTGCATTTCGCCCTCGCGCAGCGAAATGCTTCGGCCCATGCCGGCGCTGCTGTAGGCGCCCATGCGCGAGGGTATGGACGCGCTGGTGCTGGCCTCCGGTTCGTTCTGGCTCGCCAGCTGATTCTGGTTAATCAATATGTGCGTATTGTCGCCGGGCACAGAGGCGGCTGCCGCTGGCACCACATTGCCCGTTGTGGGCTGGTAGCGAAAATTGGAATGTGCTATAAAGGAGCGCAGCGCCTCGGTCGAGGGCGCCGTGGACAGCGAGAACATCTCGTTGAGATTGACACGCCAGAAGCCCAATTGCCGCACATTCGCTGGCGACGAAACGGCAGCCGGCGGCGGCGGCTCCTCCAAGCTGCCGCTATTGGCGCCCACGCTGCGCGACTGCTGCAAGCGGCGGTTCATCTGTGTGGTCACACGCACCGGCGTGCTGCTGATCGGCGTAAAGGAGCGCTGTCTGGCCAGCAGCGAGGACAGAATGTTGCTGCCAGCGGGACGGCCGCCACCAATGCTGCTGCTGCGCGGTGGCTGTGGGCTGGCATGCTCCAGATTAATGCTTGTGCTGGTATTTGGTCCGGTTATCGGCTGTGACGGGGTCGCTAGCGACAAGGACGGCGTCGGCGCAGGCAGCAGGTAATCGTGCTCAGCTGTCGTTGACTCATTGTCGTCGCCGTCGCTGTCAATGGGTATGGCTACGCTGGCAGCGCTCCTGTCCGGCTGGGCAGCACCACGAACACGGTGCGAAGCAGCTGGATCGTTTGGTCCGTTGTTCATTGCGTGGCAAAAAAAAAAATAAACACCCGATTTCTCAACTGTATTTACTTTGCAAAATTTGTATTTTTGTGTTTTGTGCGTACGCGAGCCTATTTGTCTGCCAGTCAGCTGTTAACGTGGCCATTCGCATGCGAACGTTGCCATTCGCCGCAACAGAGTGACCGTTGCAAGCATTTTTGAATGCCAATTAGCAGAAAATTGCAAGCGCTTTATATATTTGTTATATATTATATTAATTTGTTGTAGATAGCGTGGTGTAAGTCATACACTGCAAGGCTGATGTAAGCTGAGACTGAAAACATATAATATTGGAGATATAAATAATGAGCAGGGCTAAATTTAATTTATTACAAAATAGGGGTTTATTTGCGTGTTACATTTTTACGCCCACACCTCATTTGCATGGCTTGGTCTGATAAGAATAATGCAAATGGCTCGGTTAACCGCAATTAAACTGACCCAAAGCCGTTGCCAAGCAACAGGGCTAAAAGCAAAAACAAAAACAAAAAAGCAAACGCAAACGAAAACGAAACGTGGCCAAAACAACCACCGAGAAGGATAACTGTTTTGGTCAGTTTAGTACGATTCAGTTTTCCAAACGAAACAGAATGTGTGTTGTGCTGTGAATTTCAATTAAATGAAAACCAAAATGAAAACAATTATGGGTAATACATACTATAAATTATAAGCTTTATTACCCAGAGTCAATAAACTATAGGCCCATAGGCCTGCGTGTGTGTGCCAGATCCTACAATAGATTCTACAATATACGTACGTACATAAGTAATGTGCTCTATGCTAGCCTAATCTTCTTAGATAGATGTTGAACCCCGCTTCGAGTAAACAAAATTAACATACATACATATATTTATGTATGTGTGTGTGTGTGTGTGTGTGTGTGTATTATTATTGTTCAGTCTGTGCAATCTCTCTCGCTGTCGCTGTTTCTAGCTGCCCCTAGCTGCCCGGCTGGGTGCACTGCGTCGTGTCAATGAACCGGCGCCGTGATGCGCGGCGATAAACTTTTGGTCTCTGCGCCGCGATTCCGTCGCTGCAAAAACAGCTTAACGGACTCGAGCGGCAGCTGAAAGTGATAGTAGGCGCAATAGGGCAGCGGATCCCAGTAGGCGAACAGCGCCTCGCGCTTGTCCAGGGCCACCGTTGACGTGTTCCAGCGCTCCAGCGTCGACCAGCTCCAGCTCCAGCTGGCCGTCTCCGTCTCCTCGGCCATGCCGCGCCTATGTATGCACATGCATTTGATGGCCCGGCACAGCAGCTGCGCATGCGAACGATTGTGGCATATATAGGGCAGTGCCACGCCCAGTCGAACGCCCAGCGGCACCAGCTGGCCGCCATGCGCCGGCGACTTGACCAACCGGAAGCTGACATGTCCATTGATGCTGCGCTGAAAGCGCACCTTGGCAAAGAAACCGCTCAGCCAGAGCTCGATCTGGGCCTCATCGTCGCGTCGCACCGGTATTAGATTCTTTGTATTATGCTCGACACGGCAGCTGACATTGGCCACAACCCGGGAGTCCTTCACCGTGGTGCACGTGACATAATGATGATAGCCGGGCTGATCACGCACCACCAGCCAGGGCTGGCGTTCGCTAATCTCGTGCTGATTGAACTTGACCAGC